ATGTTCTTTGGTGGAGCCAGTGACAGGTAGTCGATGGGGATTGGAGGGAGGATGGAGCACTATAGTTCAGCTGGTGTAGATGGGACACTGAAGTCATCGGGTACCACTTAAGTTTGAAAATTGGGATAGACATATCACTTAAGTTTGAATAGGGCGTCGGGTACCATTAAAGTCGACAAAATGTGCATCCGTCTACTTTTCCATCCAACCCAAACTTTTAATTACTTTTTTGTACCCAAAAAATTAAAAACACTCAAAACTATATTTTTGTAGATTATTCAAGAATCGAAGTCGATTTGCTTTATAAAAAAAAGATTCAATAAGTTTTATCTATTATAAAAATTAGAAAACCTTCTAAACATATTATTACTAAAATGGCTAATCAAAATTTTTCATAAATTAGTACAAATATTAAATGAACATAAGAAAAATAATAAGTACACTAGCATATAATAATAAATATTTAAAATTAATATTAGAATATCTATTTAAACAGCCTAATTCTATTAAAAGCACCATTAAAAATTGTTAAAATAGAACCTAATTGAACATCAATAAATCAAAACCAAAGAAAGATAAATAGAACATAATCATAAGGAATAAAACATATTCCAGTAATTAAAAAAATATTTAGAACAAAAAAAGATGGAAAGTAACCAAGTAATAAATGAACTATAAAAGCTACAACATTCAGTAAAAAATATAGAAAATAAAATATAATTATAGGAAGAGAATTTGAATTACTAAATTTAACTAATATGAAAAATCTACAAATATAATGTTAGAGAATTAAAAGGAAATTTAACTTGGAAAATTAGACAACATCACTCTGATGTAAGAGAACTAAATATAACATTCTCGGATTATTTATATCGAGATAGAATTCATAAAGTAGATTTATTTGAGAAAATTATTCAATTATAAGAACACATATTGATAATTGAAAATACTTCTAATAATAATTGATTCTAAATTTTCTATTAAAAAATTGATTTGCTATCAAGTATTCAAAAGAGGATTCCAATTAAACAATAAAAAATTATGTTTTCCATAAGTCCAAATGGTTTTTTTTACAATAAGAAAAGTAGAAGGACCAATTATGAATTTAGAAAATGAAATATTCCAAGAATATTCTGTCAACTTTAACGCAATGCATATAGCAGTAAACTTAAGTGGTACTCGGTGCACATATAATAGAGTTCAGTGGTACCCGATGCCATATTCAAACTTAAGTGGTATGTCTACCCCAATTCTCAAACTTAAGTGGTACCCGATGTATTTTACCCTTCTTAGGTCCAACCAGCCACATGTCAGTTTCCTATTAGTGAGTTTATTTTTCTTTTTTATATTTTAATTATTGATTTATTTATCATAATTAAGAACATTAAATATTAAGAAAAAAGGAAGATGAGTCCACCAATAACAATATGGCATGTAGATGGTTGGAGCTAATGCGTCCAACCAAGGTTGGAGCTAAGAATTACTCAGTGGAGCAACAACATATGTACACCTAATTTAGATAAAACTCATACATTGGCTGCTAGATGAAAATCGGACAGTGGATGGCTTTTTCACCCTCTCAAATTAGTCAGAAATTTTTCACAAACACACCCAATTCTTTAACCCTATACCATTTCCATGTATTTTTGTTATGTGGCTGCTTGTAATAACTTTAAGATAATTGTATTATATGCATTTATTTACGTTAACGGTTAACTATGTGTTAATACTTAATTGTTATATTTTATTCATTATATAAATCAAGGATTGATGTATTAATAAGAGATTTTTTCTTACGTACTGATCTGATATACCAATTAACCAAACCGATTAAAATTTAGTTTGATTATTTTTTTTTGTGTTAATTGATTCGGTTTTGTTACAATATTTTATTCATGATTAATAGTTAATGGATTTAATCTACAAAATACTATAAAGGAATTTCAATAAATCGCGTTTGCCACGTCCGCCCCTTCTCAATTTACCGCACACTACGGAAGGACCTCCAGGTAATTCTCATTCCTTCTCTCTCCGGCCTCTTATCTCGCACAAAAATTCTCACCCGTTCTCTCTCTCTCTCTCACCGTCTGATTACCAAACCCTCAAAAAAAATCTCACTTCTTGCCCACCGCAGTTACCTTGATGGCTTAATCTTGCCGGACCCTAAACCTGTTTCTCGAATTTGCTGGTGTCGCTCCCGGAAGTCCCTTCGACACCGCACCGCTTAGCAAACTCACTGCCACCGTTTTTTCCCATACACATCTCGCAGCTCCCCCAATCCCACACCCTCAATTTGCTTCTCCATCTCCCTATGCTGCCCTCAAAAGTCCCTTCCAATCCCCGCCGCCGGCTCTGTTTTTGCTCATACCCTTCTCAATCTCTCTTCGTATGTATTCTGAATTTAATGGTTATAGGTCATTCCAAGTCTCGCCCCATTTGCTAGGAGAAGGAATTTTGTTTTGATGGTACATTGGAATCATTGAGCACAGGTTGTTTCAGTGTCAAGTCTGGCTCTCTCTGCCTTTTGATTAGCTTTGTATGATAGTATGAATATGTTTGTTAGCTTGAGGTCTTTTGATTTTGTAGCTTAAAAATTGCATTATCTACAATTTTTGTAATACATGATCTTACACCTGAGTCTGAAGTGATTACTAGGCTGGAATGGCCTTGAGTTCAAAATAGGATATATCTGATGAACCAGAGTACTTTATAGCTCTTGACAGCATGAATTTTGAGGGCTAAGAGGAACTAATGATTAGACTGGATAATGGGGCTTTAGATGGTAAATAGTTAGGTTTACTATAATTTGCTTATTATGAGTCTTCCGATGGGAGTCATTTAGAGGGTTGAGAAAACCCAATACACATGCTTCATTGACTTCTGTAAATTTCTTATTCTGAGAGCTTCCAGAAGCCAATACATATGCTTCATTGATCGTCATTGTGTATTTTGTGTATGTTTGTTTCTATTATGGGGAGGAAAGGTTGATTCTACACATAATGTACATAATAATGCTACTACTAGCGGGTTACAGGTTCTTAATTGCACTATGGTATTGGTATGAGTATGACCCTGCAAACTCATTTGATTACTTTCCCCTTATCTTATAAGTTTTTGGCGATGCTTACCAAGCGAGGAAATCAAAAGGGAAGTAAAGAGGTTGAATAAGTTCACATAAACAGGGGAAATCAAGTACTTGAATTTTTGGCCACTATCATGCTGCAACATGTATACTCATTCCTTCCCAGGGGTTACTTGAAACAAGTTTTCTGAGTAGCTTCCTGGGCAAAATCCCCCAACAATATCTTATCCTGGTTTGAAAGAACATAAAAAATAATGTTAGTAGCAGTTGAACTCAAAATCTTCTAAGATTGGTTGGGGAACCTTTAATACACTACTTAACACATAAGGTATAGATCCAAATATCATTTGAACCCCATTGTTCAATTACAGCGGTTGTATGAATGGATGAGGCATATTTGATGGGTGGAAGATAATTTACTTTACGAAATATGATGATCGCCATCAATAGTTTCCTTTGAATGGTTAAATACAGTAAAAAGTTAAACCCCTTTTGGAGTCAATGGGATAGAGGCAAGAAAAAGAAAGACACAGCATAGCCTGACCGCTATTTCTCGACTCTGTGTGACTAACAATCCTTACCTTCTTTCCATTTTCATAAACACAGAATAATTCCAAAATGATAAATGACACTTATTGTTGGCACATAGACACAATGACGGACTTGAATGTTTGGTGCTTGGATTGGCTAAATACCCAAGTACCTGAAAATCTATGCTAAAACTGATAATTCTACTTTTGAAGAGCTATTTAGGTGTCGTTTGGGGATCAAAATTTGAATTATAAATTTATTGAATTCATATATTTAACAAAATGTTATATGTTTTGTTGCTACTTTTTGTATCATGGATTATAATTTCAGAAATTATAAATCTCTAAACTCTAAAGATATCAAATCTCTCATAATTAGAGAGATTCTACATATTGATTTTGGATATTTTCTCCCTCCCATATCTCTTTTTTTTTTCCATCTATCCCACTAAATACCCCTATCAATAAATTCTCAATATTTTTCGAGTCAATCTAAAAATAAATTCCCATTTAATAAAAAAAAATATAAGTTCTTTTTTCATTGGATATTAATAATCGTAATTACCAAACAATGAACATTTCCAAAAAAAATTCAACAATTCTGAGAGTTAAAATCTTTGATTGTCTAGAATCTATAGATTTAGACTCCAATTCTCCAAACAATTTCTTATTGGTTTCACAACTATACAACCCATTGATAAGAAAGCAAAATTATATGTGCAATTGAGACACAATACAAGTCGCGGTTCTATACTTCACCGCTCACCGGCCAATGGGCCGGGCACAAAGCTAGTAATTACCATAACAATGATTTGAACACCCCAAACCAATGACACGCAAGCAAAGGGCTTGTGGCGCCCTGTGGCCTGTGCGATCAGCCGATCACATCCTAGGATGAAACGCTGTCGTTTAACGCATAAGAAACCGAAAGAAGAAAGATAATTCAGAAACAAAACCTAGAATTGCTAAAAAGTCTAAAACCCTTCGACGGTTCGACCCGAACCTCCCCTGTCCCATTCTATAAAAAAAAAAAAAAAAACCTCCCCTGTCCCTCGACTTCTTCTTTCTCCCAGCAGAGCAGCCTCTTTACCTCTCGTGCCGCCGGTCTCTTTTCCTTCTCAGTCAGGTACCGATTACTTACTCAGTTCTGTAATTCTGTTCGGTAGGTTTGATTTGATATTTCCCCGGGAACTTGGAGTGCATGTGCTGGCGGGATTGCTAATGGTGGTTTTAGAATTAAGGTAGCAGAGAGGGGGATTCATCAACTGTTGTCGTGATGAATAGAACCAGAAGACTAAATAAATTCATGGAGTCATGTGGTACACAAAATTCCAAGTTGAAGATGCTGCTGTTCTTTCTTTTCCTTTTTCGTCTATGGACTCCTTCTCCTCGTTTTCTTTTTGTGGGTTCAATTTGATCTTTTTTTTTTTAAACTGCTGCAATGGTATTTGATTGAAGGGGTTTGCTAGAAATTGTTGAGAAATGGAGCACGGTTCTTTGAATGATCCAAGCAAAGCAACCTTCTCTTTTGTCGACGAAGACCACACACTTGCAAATTCCGTCCGATTCTGCTTGAATCAAGAGTCTGTTCCCTTTAAGCTACTTCCAATTGCTCTAAAAAAAAGTCTCCTATTATTATGTGATGAGCTCACCCGCATGCGCTACTGTTGCAGTCCAAGGGTATCTGTTTGTGGATACAGCATTCCTCATCCTTCAGATGCTCGAGTTAACATTAGAATTCAAACTACAGGTACTGCTGTGGAATTCCCTTTGCTACAATATCCTGATTTCATTACAACAAAGTCAGAATCTTGTGGGTTCAAGAACTTGTTTAGCACTTTGCTACAAATGGGTCTGGTGTTCTGTTCCGGTTTATTATCTTGTTAGCTCGAATTGTTCTTTTGTCATGGATACGCTTTTGCTTGGTTGTTGGTGTTACAAAGACCTGTATGGGACCTGGATGAGTTAAATAACTGTTGTGATTGAACCTCATGAATGATGTAGCTTCCCTAGTTAAGTACAGTTGGAGACTTGTCTGTTCCAAGAGAATAATCCATAGCAAGATTGATGGCCTTGCCACTATTAACGTGTGTTTCATTGTAAGTGACAATGTCTTGAAATGGGAATTATGCAGGTGACCCAGCAAGGGAAGTACTGAAGGATGGATGCCAGAATTTGATGCTAATGTGCCAGCATGTGAGGGGCGCTCTGGACAAGGCTGTTGCTGACTTCAGAATGGACAATCCCACAAAAATGGAAACAAAGAGCGATTCAGAGTGAAATATGGCCATCGTCAAACATATCATGTTCGATTGTATAACGTTACAGATTGCTTGATGTTCTGAATCGATATGATGAAAGTGGTTTTGTTCTGCTTCAGAGTCTTCTATGTTTCTACCCAAAAAAAAGAGTCTTCTATGGTAAATCATTAACAGATGTAGATTCCAAAAGGATCAGAATCCTTCCTCCAGCTTTTGGCATGAGAAGAAACCAAATTTTGGACACAAACCAACCAGTAAGCTATACACTTCAATTTTCATTTCTAATGGAGAAAAATTTGAATCGAAACATACAAAAAGCTAAGTGCTTGGGAGTCATACATACTAAGCTTGAAACTATTATACAAACAATCAATACAAGATATACTCAAGCTTTTTACATAATACACGCCAATAATTTACAGATTTTGCGTAGCTTAGCTACCCATTCCCTTCAGTTTTGGGATGTGGAAGAGCCAGGAAACAACAAAGGCGAGAACCATGCAACCAAGCAGGAAGTTCATAATGCGGCGGCTATGCCACGCTGGCCTGGCTTCCACAAGAATCATCGGAGCTGCTGATGGTGCCGATGTAGCAGCATTTGCATTGAACGCCATGTTTGTCAGCTTCCCAGCAACGTTAGCTGCTGCAGCACCACAGATCTCACATATCCCGCCCAACGAATTTGTGTCATATTTCAAAAAGCTAATACTAGTATACTACTAGAAATACCAACCTTTAGGGAGTGCGCAATTTATATTAAGTAATTTTTATATATCATTTGTGTAATCTTCGTTAGTTTCGTACTGAAATTCCTGTTAGCGCCAAATCAGCGCTTAGGTGGACTCTAAGAAAATTAAAATTCGAACATTTTTAATTAGTTTATGGAGCAGAGTCATTGGCACGCTAGCGGTTTAGGTCGCCCATTAAGACAACCCCGACGATGAACACGAGTCCGAGCTCAAGCAGCAGTAGGAGCAACAACTAAAGAGATGGAGTTTGCCATAGAGGTGAGTGACTTGTGTAAGGAAATTAAGGATCTCGCATTCTGGATCAGGCCAGTTTAGCTTGTGTGAGTGGGGGAAGAGGAGTTGTGGACATGCCTTATATTTTCTTAGTCCATTAATTGATGGGTTTGATTGTATGCAACTTTTTCTACTCAATACAAGTATACATACGATAATTGCTATAAAAAATTCATGTGCTTTTCAAAAAATACAAGAATAGAGACATGTTTACCCTAATACTTTATTCATGGCAAACAAATCGGAGTAAACATGTCTGAGTTCAAGCAATCAAACAGAATGAGAAATTGAAAGGATGAAGAAAAACAGGAAAACAAAGTAAAGTGAGCACATTCAAATTATTAAAAAAAAAAATGATCGGCATGATCGCACTATGTAAGGATGATGTGAAAGAGCACAAATTGGACGCAAATTATATATAACTAAAATTCATTAGATAGGCCAAAGTATTTCATGCGTAAATCAAATTAGATAACATTCCAAGTATAAAACCCAAAATTTGTTCCAAAAGGACACATCTATATACACAGGAGAAATCATATTGAAGTGGAATCCAGTACATCCTTTCCCCCCTCAGTAGGTATCAGGAGAAGAAGGAGCAAATGCAGTAGTGATACCATCATCTGCAAAAGTAAAAGCAGGAGAAGACAGGGGAGAACCAAGTGGAGCTCCATTTCCTTCCCCAACAGCTCCATCGACAGCAGCAGCAGCAACCCAACCTGAACTCTTGGGCAGATCGTACATCGAGCGACGACGAGGAGCAGTGTTCCCACCGCTGCAGATATCATGCAAGTTCATCCCTGCACATAACCCATACGCCAAACAAATAGTAATATTGTCAGGTTCTGGTTTAGGATGTATCAGGTGTTAGTGTGTGGTATATGATCCACGATTGAACCTCTCCCAACAATTCGAGTTATTGAGATCAGTTGGTTCTTGACATGGTATCAGAGCCTTCCGTGACGGAGAGGTCTTGTGTTCGATTCCCGGTGACCGTGACCCCATTTGTTAAGCACATGGTATTTGGATCTGTGCAAACTTCAAGCCCTTGTGAATGGTTTTCGTGTGAGGGGACGTCTCCCAACAACTCGAGTTATTGAGATCCATTGGTTCTTGACAGAAGGAACCTGTTATGCAGGCAATTAAATAATATTACATCTGTTTCCTTGTTTTACCTTCAGCTTGAGCCAAGCTGGAGTAGAGATCGAGGATGTTTGGGCAGTAGGTGAAGCAGGGCTGGGAGCAGAGCTTGGCGACGAAGTTGGGGGACAGCAGGTAATCAGAAGAGATCCCGACGGCGTTTCTGTCGACGCCGCAGTCCTTGATGCATGCCTCCGTCTCGATCCATGACTTCATGTCCACCACCACTTCCGATGTCTTGCATTGGTAATTCACCGTGCCCTTTCTGGCCACGTAGTTCTCCAGCACGCACCTCTTCCCTGCGTCCGAGATCGAGTAGGCGCATAGCTCCACTGGAAGCTCCTCGCATATCAGATCGCCCAGGGCTCCGTTGAGGATCGCAAGGGAAGAAACAGCGAAGAAAGCAGCGATCATCGTCTTCCACGACATGCTGGCAGCAGCAACCATGTTTGTTTGTCGGAGACGAAATAAAGCTGATGAAGAATGAGGAATGTATTGAGAAGGCATGAAGAGGGAATGTGGAGTTGTGGATGTAAATATAGCAATGGCTGGGAGAGGAAACAGTTTAGTTTACAAGTCAAACTGCTGTATCTGGGTAACGGCCGACTCCATTCCCAGCTATAGAAAATGTAGAAAATGAAAGCTCATATCATATCAGACAGATTTCCCCAAACCCAACGTAGAACAATGAGCATAGATAGATGAGAAAGCGAAAGGAATGAGGTGGCTGTTGTGGGTTTTGGCCGGATACAGGCTTTGCTCTTCGCGTTTTGTTTTCTGGATCGATTCGGGATGGCGGATCTTTTAAGGCTGCATTGTTTTGCAGAACTTGTTATGATTATGACGTTGAAGGGACAAAATTTTCGGGCGGAAGCGTGGCATGCAGAATTGCAGACTTGGTCAATGTATAATCCACTTGTTTTCTTCGCTGGTATGGACAGATTAGCTTTCTGAGAGGTTGTTTTCAGGAGAGGTTACCGATGGCGGTGAAGAACCTTGCGGTTCTGTACAAGAATTCACAGGGCGTTATGTAGGAACAGAGATCTTTTAATCCTTCTCTTCATCTGGTAAATGACAGATTCTTGTTGTTTGTTATCAACGACATTGGCTTGCATACAATCTTGTAAATGACGGCCAGTCCAGAGGAGCCGCGCGTTCTGTGTATGATGCTTGCTGCATTGCAGATATCAAAATAATTTTATTTCAGTTGAACAAATGTAACACTACATATTACACCGGTATACTATCAGTTGAACCAATGTAACACTACATATCATTTCATTGATTTGTCCGGGGACAATCACCGGTATGGTTTCAAAAACCCTGGAGAATACGAGATCCGGATCTTTCTGCTAATGTTCCCTCGGATCTCTACCAGGTTCATTTCAGCAGAGCTCTGAGTTAAACAACAAAATGATCTTATCCTGACTGCATACTAATTGCACTCGAAGTCCCAAAACCCAATTCTCTGATCAAATGCCCGTCATGCTACTAGCTGCTTTAGCTGACAACATGCCATCAGGCAGCTTGAACTTCACCATGAGCAGCAGTTTCGGTCGTTGTTGTCGGACTTGGGGAGTGTACCAAGTTTTGATTCGATTTTTTTAAGCCAGGAAGATATTTCCAGCAACGCTTATGAACTCCACTAATCTTCTTGGGAGCTTCTGCAGCAGGTAATCCTGTATGATGAATTACCAGTGAGTTAAACATTGGATGAAAAGGTTATCTCAACGTAGCAGTTCAGAGTAGCTATGTAACAGATGGTCTTATCATGGCTAATCATGTTGCTGTGTTGCCAAATACACAAGAAATCTCAATATATAGACCTACTGGTTCTCCGCATTTGACAAAACACGCTTGGTTCATCCAAACAGGAATAAGAGCTTGATAAGGAAGTGGTCATTTGTAGACAAGAATACATACATAATCCACAAGGATCCTGTCTGTCCTCATTGAGAACCATAATAAACAGATTGAATTGTGGTTCAAGGCTAAGGAAAACCGTGTTTTAAGTGACAAGGATATGTCAGAGTCAGACACAGCTTAAGAAACTTCATCCACATCCAGCACTCTTTCTCATCTCTTCAAGCTCAACAATGACAGTAATTTCAGGGTTATTTTCAGTTCTAATCAATAAAAATCAAGAAAGATTTCATCAGAAACTAAGCATGCAAACTCGGTGTACATGATTTGGCTAATTCCAACTTCAATAGTGCGTGTCATTCACACGTATTGGAGCGTGCTCATACCATTTTAGAGTAGGAATGACAACCATTTCGAAGACTAACAAGTGCTCTCACCTCTCATGTAGTATGTTCTAAGGACGGCTATTTTGGTATAACTAGCAATAGCATCTACACTTTTACCTCAAAGCTTCAAAACTGAAAAGAGTAAAGTCTGAAATAGTCCATACACACTAATCACTATCCCAAGTAAACAGCAGGGATAAAAAGAAATCATCCAAAGAACTGTAATAATGTTGTTATGCTGATCACCAACTTGAAACAGACTCGAGTTCACGATTGAGTTTTCAACATTCGATTTGCCAGCCCTTGGGCAAATTTCAAACACAAACAATCAAATGAAATCAAGAAACCAAACCCACCAATACTTCAATTAAAAATGGCATCCACGTAGAGAAAGGAAGACTCAAGGAATTATTACTATGCTAAAGGATGAACATTCAGTCAAACACTAACCGTCTTTGTAAGTGATCCCCCATGCCTTGCCGTGTCTACCGTCCTGCAAAGCACCAACCAACAATCAAAACCCTAAACCCTAATACTGCAGGATTTCCTCCCCGCCCCTCCGCTTTTGATCTATTATAGGTACCGCAGAATACAAAATGCTACAGTAATACAAATGAAAAGGAACTGAAAGAGGGGAAACAAACAGAAAAGAAACCTTGTATAGATTGATTTTGGTGATCTCATAGGACACACTGGTCCAATGAGCTTTGGCCAAGTGGTAACCGAGACCCCAAT